TTTATCACACAATAATGATGACACAATGGCATCAACAAAACTTAAAAAGACTTTCGTTCACATTATTCCAAAAGTTGATATAACTTAATAAAAAATACTGATGAAAAATATAATAATTAAAGTATCTGAAAAAGCGAAAACGACAGAAAAAAAGCAGAAAAGCCTTCAAAAAGAAGAATTTTTCTGCTAAAACTAGAAGAGTTGGCAACACTGCTAATTTGCCATGCAAAAACTCAAATTCGATTTGATCTTCGTTTCATTATTACTCGATATCTAACTATTCTAAAACGTTAGCACTATTGTCACGTTAGTACGACATGTAACACTTTCGTAAACACATTTAAAAAAGCATTCTAATTTCATTTTTGAGCATTCTCTATTGATCGAATTCTTTAGTCCTGATATCATGTTTTCTACCAGTTACATTACTGACTTATGGAAAAATTGAAAGGATTATCACAGTATTAACATTTAAGATCAATATAATTAGAACGCTTGTGACACTATGTTTTAACGAAAGCCACTAGAATAAATTAGAACTATAGATAATTCCAAATGCGACCAGAGTGTAACAATGCAAATATTTTGATGATTTCCATTATTTTGAGTACTACTAAGGCTTCATAATTTATCGTATACCATAGTGGAATTAGATCATCGCTTGGAGAAGCGCAAAATAAAATATCAGTCTGATATATATAATTTTTGACACTCCTATTTGATTGATTTCTATTCAAGATTCAGATGTGTTCTCTTCGATTCGAATCATAACGGCTCAATTGATTTTGTCGAGTTTTTAATGGTCAATGTCTTTGCGTCATCAAGCACTTGAATGGATGAATTGGGATACTTATTCGATATGTAAGTGGTCTATCAGTTATTTCTCGTCTTTATATGGGTGTGGGCGTGTGTGGGTGTGGTAGGATGTGGGTGGGTGTGGATGTGGGGTGTGGGTAGGGGTGTAGGTCACTGGTGAAAGAACCCACAACTACACCTTCACCCACACCCACACCCACACCCTTCTGATTGATGCATTAACTTATAAGTGAAGACGCACACTATTTTAATACGAATTTAATACCGTATTATTTTTCTAGTGTAGACAAGGCCTAAGTTAATACACTTTTCAAAACTCTATTAAATGTGTATTAACTTTTTCGACCAATCCACACTCCTTAATACACTTTTAACTTTTTTAGTGTAGCCGGGGTTTTATTCTCTTTATTATTATTATTATTCATAACATTTTTATTTCGAAAATTAATATTTATTTGGATAATATGTTGAATCTAGTCTATAGACAATAATTAGTTTTAATTAATTATGAATATAATTCTCCATAATTGACTCATATGTCATATTATATAAAACATATCTTACTGATAAATAGGTATTTAATAGGTTGAATAGAATAAGAATTGTTCTTTTCTTAAAACATAATTCTAAATTGTTTTAAACAAAAAAACTAATTGTTTTATTGTGGTTTTTTTCATTGTAAATATAAATGTTTTTTAGTCGTTGTTTATATAAAATAGCTGACCAAGATCTTGCTAGTCATTTAAATTTACCATTTATTAATAAACTTTGTGTTTATGTTCGTGGTGGAAATCGTTGAAAAAAATCTGGTGCTATTCGAGGACAACGATGATCATGTTCTTATACGTGGTAAACCTTATTTAACATAAAGAAATTTTTATGAAAGAAAATTTATCTAAACCTTATATAGGATCTTATGGTGAACATAGTCATAAACACATGTTTAAATGCAAAAGCAGATGAAAATTAAATTATTCATCTTCCATTAGGTATTCAAGTTTGACGTGATAATGATGATTTAATAATAGATGAAATAAATTATATTGATTATCAATGTATTGTAGCACATGGTCTTGATTGAGAATATTATAAAAGATTTTTTCAAGGACAACCTCTGGTGAAGTTACAACGATTAATTTTCATTTGAAATTATTAGCTGATGTTGGATTAGTAAGAAAAGAAAAAAAAACATTTTAATTATTTTTTATTCGTATGAGTTTACATTGGAAATGATGGTTGGCTGAAAAATAATTTCATAAAAATCTTCGTTCAATTTTTTCAGCTTGCAGAAAGAAGTGGGGAGGTGAATCACTGTGGAAATTGGCCTCTCGAGAATTTAATTTTTTCTATGTTAAACTATCAGACAAAATTGTCAAAAGTAACCTTTGCTAGGATTAATCAATGGCCATTATATATGCATTGAACCGAACTGTTGATGATAATAAACTCGTTCTATTTAACCATCTCATCACCGACCAGATTACTTTCATATCGTTCTAGAGTACTTTTCAACAGCTTGAAAACGATATAAAAACATTCAGAAAAAAACACCGATCAGATAAAGAAATTCTAATGAGACGATTCTCGAGGCAATAAAACATTATGAAAATAGAATTGTCGATTATTATATCGATATCGACACAGAGAAAAATTTGATTATCATAAACTGTCTGCTTCAATCTACATTTGATAAACATTGACTAATCTATCCAACAGTTCACTTGTCGAATATTTCATGCAATAGTTTAACATGGAAGAAATGAAATTTCTCAATAGAATCAATGTAAACAGTTGGCGAATCCCGTCTTTTGAAAATATTGAGTTAAAATTAGAATTTTGTTTTCTTTTCGAATATCAACTCAAAAATTTTTCATTGAACTTCTTCTACAGAAATTTTAACGTCCATCTTCAACAAGCTTTTAAATTAAATTTAGACAAAATTTAGCGAAATAAAAAATTTAATCAAAGTTGAACGGAAAATTATTTTTTAATATAGATAATAAAATAGCAAATTGTTCTCTAGAAAGTTTTCTGCAACGACATTTATCAATAGTGATTATTTTCCTATGAGACAGAATGTCAATTATTAAGGCTATTTTCTTTTATTTATATAAAAAAACAAACACGCTATGTGAACTTACTCATTTCAGAATAATTCTTCGAAACTTCTTCATACATTACAGAAAGCATAAGTCATCGAGATATGTTCAATCTATATTCGATAACCTCGTTAAAAGCAATAACTAATGAACATCAGATATGAAAAACAACGTCGTTTTATTGATATATCGAATCAAACAAGAACGCCAAAAATACTTATTAGTTTACCTTTTTTTTTTTGAGATTCTAAATCTAATCTTATAAATCGATATGAAAATATTCTTCAATTTTTCCTATTAGAAAACTTGCTGAAAATCAGTTTGATTTCCTATCATGTCAGTTTTTTGTTTAAATTGAAAAATAAATATGAAATTTATGGGGAAAAAAACAATCATCATTATACTATACAGTAAATATTGTTTATATGAAGCACTGTGCCATGCGAGATGGATGAAGAGAAATTTCTACGTTATCACCATCTTATTATTCTTAGAATGAGTCTTTTTTATTTTCAGTTTCATAACCTGATCATCGTTTGTGTTATGTATCTATGCTATTTCATATAATTTATTTATTGAAACAGACAAAATTTAGTCAATTATTTTGTCTTGTGCTCTACAATTGAATAAAACAAGACACTGAAAGAGAAAAACGAATATATATATATATATATCAAATATAATAAATCTCTAACTTTGGATTATGTATCGTCAAACAAATCTTTTTTTTTGTGAAAAGAATAGGAACATATCGTTAGAGAAAAAAGAGACCGTTTTGTAGATCGGGTCGGAACCATAGATACAGGGTGTTCTGATAAAAATAGCATTTATTCTAATATTCTGTTTAGTTTTTATAATAAACGACTAACATACACAATTTATCTCATAGAATTATGAGAAACTCTTCCTTTCGAAGTACTGCTCAATATCAATTTAACTTGAAATGAAAATTTCGCGAAAAATCCTTAAAAAAACGGCAAAACCAGGGTGTAGGTGTGGGTGGGTGTGGAGTGTGGGTGTGGGTGTGTCGGTGTGGGTGTGGGTGTGTCGGTGTGGGTGTAGGTGTGTGAAGTTTGGGAATGTGCTTCTAATTATATCCGCACCCACACACCAACCCACACCCACACCCAAAAATTAACATTTTTCATACGTCTAAACGTAATCAACGTAGGTATTTCTACCCTAGTCCCGCCATAGAAGTGTGGGTGAAGGTGAGGTAATACTACCCACACCTACACCCTCGACGCAATTTCCTATATAATTGCACGATGTCAATTCAGTGCACAATACAATATCATTCTAACAATGTACACTATTGAATGTCTGAATTTGACGGTTTATTCTTATTTCTTGGGTGCAACTCTACCTCAGATATATGATAAGAATGATTTTATCGAATTCGATAGCAATATTTTTTCTCTCTTCTGTACATGTTGTTATATAATCGTCTATTAATAGCTGCAAGTTAATTGATGGCTAATATTATTAGTTACAAGATTCGAGACACTAAGGAGATACGTTTTTAAAAACATATTATTTCATAGCCATACTTTCATAGTATGACTTGATTTTATCAAATCATCGGCTTGTCGGTATGCAAGAGACGACGAACAGAAATCAGTAAATCAATAAATGACATACAGGTACGGACACATACATTGAAATGTTTTATGTCTGTTACACTTGTGATATTGATTTTGAAAAAAAAACGAAAACAAATAATTAAATCTATAATATACGTTCAGCTAACCTTTAATCAAACTTCGATTTATTGTATTTGCAATAATCTGTTTCATGCTACTTTTGTTAAATCACTGTGCATTGAGATTATTCCGATTGACTTTGCTTGAGAACTAGAATTGATTAGAATGGCATAAATAAACTAAGAATTAGTTTTACAAAATTTTAATAAAACTTATGATTCATCTTGTTTATAAACAAAAATAATGAATTTAAGATTAATAACAAATTAAGAACAAGAACAAGAACAATTATTTAATTAAAAAAAAATTTGAACAATGATGATTTTCTAAAGTTTGTGTGTTTGTATGACGATGAACAAGCTTTTAAATTAGATTTTGATGGTTAAATAAGAATAAAACAATAAAATATCAATAATATTTGTATTACATAAAAATGACTTACTTGTTCTTCAATCCACCAATTAATAATAAACTCTGATCCATTATTAGGTAAATAATATATTCGACAGAATGAAGCACCATATGTAAGGCGTTTTATTCGTGAAACAATTAAATTTGGATCATATCGAAATATTTGTTCTTGATTAGAAAATGGACCACATGAAATAAAAGATGCATTTAATAAATGTTCAAATCCATTTATTAGATGAATCATAACATGTGTTGAGGAGATATGAGATTTATATATTAGATATTTTGTACATGGAAAAAGACGAAATAATTCTTCAATAATATATTCATTATACTTATCACTAATTCTAATTGTAAGCTTTTGAATTTGTTCAAGAGAATAAGTAAACATTCGTTTTATTGCATGTTTTGTTATATCATTTTTAACAGAGAGTTCATATAAACAGGGTAGTTTTTTTGAAATTGGCATTAATTTTAGTAAATATTGTAAAGATAAAATTGATAAATGTTTAACTTGATTAAGATCGACTATGCGTAATAAATATTTTAATGGAATTGAATATTTGAGTTTTAATACATTGATATTAGTGAAATACTCCTTGCTAATTTTACCTTTTCTCACAGTAAATTCATTCACATGACTATAAAAAATCGTATTATCAGGTGCTGTTGAGTAAATAACTGATTGATAGGAAGAATCAACTTGTTCAGGAGCAAATAAGGAATAGAAAATAGATAATCATTGTAATATGCGATAAACCAATGTTTTTCTTCAAGCCAAAATGATGTTCGAAATGAATTAAGAATTTGTTCAATAAAATTAATACATATATGTATATCGAATTTGAAATAAAATGTGACTAAAGAATTAGTTAATGCTTGCCAACGTTGTCCATCCGTTAGATCAGCATAACCTGCCAAATGCAATTCAAAATGTCTCAGATAAAAGCAATTTGACAGAAAATATTCCATATAATCCATTGATACCGGAAAAACTATAAAACACCGAAATAAAAAGATTTTCTCAATGACATTTCATTTTTATACTAGAATTTTCCAAAAAACAATATTACTACTTAATAAAGTCATCTGAATTATTTGACAACAATATATAGAAATATAGAAAAAACTAATTGAAAATTTTGGTATTTCTAAAATTGATCTGTTTTTGAAGAATTTCAATAATGCAAGAATAAAATGAACTAGTAAGCTTGATAATTAATATAAATTCATGATCAAATGCCGAATAGATAACAATCATATCAATAGATAAATTATTGAAAGTACTTAGTTTTATAACATGATAAGTTGAAATTTGTATAAACTATTCTCCAATTTTTGCATGATTACAAAGTAGAATATGAAAAGTTAGTTCGTTTTAAGCTCAAACTCAAATATTGCTGTACGTTTGAATCATTTATGATGAAATGAAGGAATGGTGTTGTCGACAACTAGGATTAGTGAGCTATTTTATCCCTTCGATCTCATCTATATAATAATCAAGTCATACAGGAACAGATAAGCGGAGAGTAATCGATTTTAGTCTTGTTTTATTGAAATAATACTTACAGTCAATTTGTAGATTAAGTCGAGTAAGTCGAGTTGGTAATATGATAGATTGAAAATTCATCTCTCCAAAATTAATACAAACGTCAAGTGATTTAAGTTGTGGCGCTAAATGAGTAATTGTTTCGAGTTTACCGATTGAACAACTTCCAAGTTTTAAACGTTGAAGATTCGAAAGTTGTATCGATTCTAATACCCAACCATCATTTAAATTTAAAAACTTTAATTGAGGTAATATTTGAGCATAAGTATGAATTAACATTGAATTTATCTCTCGAAGTTTATTTCCAGAATTAAGATCCATTAGTCCATATGTATGTCTAATTGTAGAAACATCAAATGAAAATGAACGTAATTGATTAAGTTTTGATAGATTGTAAAAAATAAAGTCTAACGATTTAAATTCAATTTTAATTAAAGTAAGTGATTGAAGTCGAATAAATTGTTCGATTTGAAAATAAGAAAAGAATAATTCTGATTCACCAGATGTATCATCATTATCACATAATATTAATGAAGTAACTTGTTCAGGTCGAATATTGCGACAAATAAGATCAAAATTATATCTTGAAATTGATTTAAAATTAAGTTTATAAGAAGAATAAGATTGTAAAATAGCATTCATATAATCACTAAGACCATAGAAACTAATTAGGATTTCATGTCCAGAGAAATAATTAAATAAAATACGTAATAATTCTGCAAGTAATAAATCAAAAAAAAAACGATGATACATCATCATACACTTAGTTGAATATTCCAAATGATTTCTAAATTATAAAAGAAAGAAAATCATAAAACGAAAAATTATAGTGTTTAGTTACAGGATTTAACACACANTTATTGAAATAATACTTACAGTCAATTTGTAGATTAAGTCGAGTAAGTCGAGTTGGTAATATGATAGATTGAAAATTCATCTCTCCAAAATTAATACAAACGTCAAGTGATTTAAGTTGTGGTGCTAAATGAGTAATTGTTTCGAGTTTATCGATTGAACAACTTCCAAGTTTTAAACGTTGAAGATTCGAAAGTTGTATCAATTCTAATACCCAACCACCATTTAAATTTAAAAACTTTAATTGAGGTAATATTTGAGCATAAGTATGAATTAACATTGAATTTATCTGTCGAAGTGTATTTCCAGAATTAAGATCCATTGGTCCATATGTATGTCTAATTGTAGAAGCATCAAATGAAAATGAACGTAATTGATTAAGTTTTGATAGATTGTAAAAAATAAAGTCTAACGATTTAAATTCAATTTTAATTAAAGTAAGTGATTGAAATCGAATAAATTGTTCAATTTGAAAATAAGAAAAGAATAATTCTGATTCACCAGATGTATCATCACTATCACATAATATTAATGAAATAACTTGTTCAGGTCGAATATTGCGACAAATAAGATCAAAATTATATCTTGAAATTGATTTAAAATTAAGTTTATAAGCAGAATAAGATTGTAAAATAGCATTCATATAATCACTAAGACCATAGAAACTAATTAGGATTTCATGTCCAGAGAAATAATTAAATAAAATATGTAATAATTCTGCAGGTAATAAATCAAAAAAACAACGATGATGCATCATCATACACTTAGTTGAATATTCCAAATGATTTCTAAATTATAAAAGCAAGAAAATCATCAAACGAAAAATTATAGTGATTAGTTACAGGATCTAACACACAGTAATGTTGACACATTATAAGAATTTTCTTATCTTTCTTTTCCTCCACATACATCTACTCAAGCAGGATAGAGCAAAGATGATCAAAAAGGGAAGTAGAATACTGCACACTCACCTTATTGCTCGTAATAAATTATTGTATTTTACCTTGAAAATAAAGTGAGAATGAGTCACAATGGTATTTATTTATATTCTGTATTGCTTTGACAAAAGCCAGTTAATTTGTACAGATTGACACAAAAATATTTATACATTTTCAGACGAACAATAAATCAATAAAAGAGGACGCCTAACAATGACTAATCTCAAATGTTGGCACCGTTATCTGGTCTAGTCTGAAATGATTTACAACCCGTCTTGATGTAACTAAACGTACGTCAGTCCAGAACGAGTTCACATCTTGTCATGATTAGTTCGTTTGGTCTGTTTACACTGTCTAGACTAATCAGTAAAATAAAGAAGAATAGTTGAATTGGATATCTGACTAGCGGGAACTATTGTTAATAATAGTATAAACTAGTGGAGAGCGTCATTTGTATTGTTTATGACTTGTTGATTTTTTAGAAAGTAATGCCAATCCTGATAAAAACCAGTCTAAACTCTTCAAACAATGCCTTTCTACTTCGACCTTATTTTTCAGACAACTAATTTAGACTGACTCATATTGGACCTAGACAGATATGTGATATAGTATAGCTAATTTTTGAACATTTGCATTATTTCTTTCAATATCTTTTCAATAATGTAGTGTCTTTTTTATTCATAAAAATATGAACTATGTATAGAAAAAAACTACATCAAAATTCCTATATCGAATAAAAAAAGATCAGTTAATATCAAAGATCTACGTAGGGTTGACCAAAAGTTCTTAGAATAATATTTAAACTTTTATAAAAAAAGTTTAATATCGACAGGTTTATTCAATGAATTCGGATGCGGGTGTAAATGTGTGGTATGGGTGTGTATGTGTGTGGGTCTGGAGTGTAGGTGTCATGTCCTCATCTATGCCATTATCCAGACTCAGACTCATACTCGCACACATCCACTCACACCCACAACAGAAGTACTATGAAAAATTTGTGCGTTAAAATTGTTCGTTAGATAGCTGATTTTCGATTATTTATAATCAAGGTTCAACATAAATGTTATCATATTCTTCATAGGGAAGAAACGATTCTCATTAACTAAATTGAGACTTCAGATGATGTACCATATTTTGACAGTGATGGTTCCAATTGACGTGACTGATGGAATTCATTTCGTACACTGTTGAACATTTCATGAGCAATACGAGTTCCTATGGTAGGATTCGTTTGCATCAAGAGGAAAAAACTGATCAAACGAACATAGTTTTCCAAGTGCAACGATCTTTTTCAATGCTTTACTTTCGCTGTCAAAATTTAAAGAATGGGGCGTATAAAGGAACAAATAGTCTGTACGTTTGTTGAATTATTATGGCCATTTGACGTATATTTCTTTGAGTTAAAATGTCATCGTTTACATCAAATAGTAAATCACAAAATAAATGATATACTTCATTCTCCAACATTGAATGCCTACAAAGAATGCACAATGCTGTATAGCTGACAAAAAGACTTGGAAGGAAAAATAATCCTCACATAATTTAGTAGCCCATTCTAACGTAAGCTCATCGGTCAATCGACGACTAACATTTGAACTTCCTCCTTTTCATCAGGTGAATCAACATATAGTTTGCAATGCTTCTCATGTAATTCAATGTAAACAAATAGTCAATTTTATTTACTGATATTGTTGGTTTTCTCAATTTCTGTTATATGCATATTAAGATAGAAAAGAGAAGTAAAGACAAATATTCTTATACAAATCTAACGTGCTTTGTTTTTCTGTTCTGAGTTATTGATGAGTGTAAGTTTGTCCATGTTTTTATAAAGCCTTGCACAATCTTGTAACAACTATAATCAACGTGAAAATTCAAGACTCAATTTTTTTCTCAAGAAGCTAGATGCGGATCTAATGTTTTGTAGCATTTAATAGAACATATGAAATACAACACTCAGACATGTACATTTTTATTAGCTCAAGAATTGGAATGTGGATGCAGATGTCATAAAAGATCACCATCCACATCCTTACTTAATTAAAAACCATTGACTTCCATTGAAATGTTTTAGAAAGTTTATTTCAAAAGATCAAAAATCAAATAAGTCAATCAAATGAAATCAAATATCTGAAATACACCATTGAACATTGAAATTTGACTAAATTTTTCAATGTCACACCATCGAACTAGTCTTTCAATTAATTTTAATATCCAATGAATATTTTCATTACTTTTATTTGATCCAAATAAATAAATCCACCATCGATATATTTTTATAACATTATGAGCTAAATAATGATTGTTAACTGATGCATAATTCGATACTAAAACATTATCAATTATAATTGTGCCTGATTGTGTTAATGGTGCATAATAACCTTCTTCTATTGTTAAATAAATATTTTGAATTTTACCTAATATAATTTCATTTTTATACACATATTTTATATGATCACCTGAATACAATTGACTAGCAAATATAGCATTGTTTAATTCTGTATCATTTGCTGAGAATATTAAATGATTAGGTGATATAAATAAAGATATGTAATATATCTATGATCATCAATTTCTATATTTATTAATAAAAAACTAAATGAACTATTTCGTTTTAAATGAATAAAACCTTCAATAGGTTCATAAATTAATTTATTTTCTTTATTAATAACCAATACACATTCCACAATTTCTATATTTGATAAAGGTTTCATTAAACCATTTTCAGTTACAACGGTACTCCGACCAGGAAAGCATGTTTGTTCACGTCTTTTAGTTACACAAGTATATTGAAGACAAA